CGTAACACTAGGTAAAAAACAATTATTGAGCACGACCATCAATTCCAACGAACACATTGCTAACGAATATTTATGGATCATGTCACTTCATCTCCTCAACATACTTCTGAGTCAGATATTATTACCATAACACTGATGCTAAGGGATTTCTCTCAACAAGAAATAACCCCTACAACAAATGTTATGGAGGATTTTACAAATCATCTAGCCGGTGAATCATCTTCTGATCATAACTAGCTAGATGTTTTTTGTGATTCAGACCAACCATCATCCATCAATGTTATGCTTGAACCTCCATTGAGGTTTCTATTTCTAAGTCCTCTAACACTAGCTCAAGTTTTGACTCTGGTTCATCATACTCGAGTCCTCTAAACATCATGCCTCTCCAACCCATCCATATGAAAACTACACCTTCTGTTGACCTTCCTCAGTCAAACCTTATTTAGATTGATATTTTTGTTTAATCTGAACCCGGACAAAGAATCTAAGATCATCCATTACCCAAACAAGAAATTCCCACTTACACCAATTATGAGCCCTAACCAAATCATGTTTAGCCTCACGATGAGATTGCTACTCAAAATGAGGTTGAATAAGTAACTATAAACATACCTTCACCAGATCCCACAAATGACCAAATTGCACCAGAACCATACCCTGTCTAGAAATCTAAACCATATGACCATCACAACTCACCCTTTAGGGAAGAAGGTACTATGTCAGAAACTAACACAATACCTTTACCTAGTCCATCCACACCTCACCCTTTTGTCAACCTAAACCTAAGCCTTCCACCTCACATAAACTACCAAATGGAAGAGTTTAAAATTGTTATCCTTAATAGAATTTAAAATTTAGTTGTTGAGAAGCTCATAGCATATAATCACATATCATATGTAACTAAATGGGACTCTTTCAGAACCTTTGTGGACACAACTCTGTAGAATTTGAAGTCCTTCTCTTCAGATATCGTAACTTCTTCTAGTCAAATGCAAGATCACTTGAAGAAGAAATTATCTTCGGTTGCAACCAAATAGGAAGAAATGGATGTCTAGTTGTAGACTGTTGTTGCAAGACAAAATGAAATGGGTTATGATATGAAGGATATCATGGAGCTTCTGAGACAAAAACCTTAGGCTTTAGGATTTAGAACACTCTTTTATTTTATCTTTTCAACTATTTTCGAATATGTTTCCTGACATCTATTCTTTTTTATTATATAAAGATAGTTTTCTTCAGTATATTTTCTATTTCCTTTCATCTTTTTATTGATGACAAAAGAGGGAGTATATATATATAAGTATTTAAGAACTTGAAACATGTCAGTAATTATCTTGCTTTACTTTTGGAGGATTATATATGTGCTTTCATTGTTTAAATTTATTTAACCTGGATAGGACTTATGGTGAACTTACAAACCTAACCCTATAGACTATTCGACTCAAGGGGAGCTTACAAACCTCAGACCCTACAGTCATCTAGTTAATTAAATTATTAACCATTGTTCTTGAATACTTGTGTTTGTCATCATCAAAAAGGGGGAGATTGTTGGAGCAAAATTTCTTTGTCCCATATCCCTTAGGATTTGATGATAACAAAGTATTTAAAGAACAATTGGGTATACTAATATTTGTTCAAGTGTGCCAGGATCATATACTAAAATTTCATATAAAATCCCAGTATTGGTTCTAACTCTGAACATTTAATGAGAAGCGTGAAGATCAAATTCTGATGGATCTGAAGCTGAAGACTAGACTCTGAAGAAGTCATCTTCTAAAGAGGTTAACATCCAAGGATCAGATCCTGAAGGAGTCATCCTTTAAAGACCAGACTTTGGAGAAGTCTTCTTCTGATCAGAACTGAGCCAATTAAAGCATAATAACCAAAGTGACATTTATGGGTCATTGTTCATCTCTGAACATACTGTGTCACGCGAAGACCTAAGCTTTATCTTCTTTGTAGGTTTTGCTGGGATACAAGTTCTAATCCTTTTGTAGCAAAGGTTTTCAAACTAGGTTTCATCTAACTTGACAGTTTGGTGAAACATCCCAACGTCTCTTTTGAAAGCTTCTCAAAAGTCTTTATTGTGTTGCATCTTCAACAACTCTTTTCTACTCTATTTAAGGATCTAAAGGACTTGAAGATAGAAATACTCACATATTCAAATGAACAACGATTAACAAAAAAAGAAGTTACTCTGTCAAAGCAAAGCACAAATTGGAACTTAGGATTTCTTATCCTTGTTTACTTAGAAATTCTTAAGGTTAGTAGAGTCTATTTGTTGTTTATTCTTTATACTCCTCTGGTTGTATATCAAGTGTATTTTCCCAACAATCATTTATATGTTAGGTAGATTGTTATAAGTCTGATACTTGTGTGTTTGAGCAAAGGAAGTCTCTAGCTTGTATGCTTGAGCAAGGAAGTCTCATACTTGTATGTTTGAGCAAAGAAAATCTCTAGCTTGTGTGCTTGAACAAGGAAGTTTCATACTTGTGTGTGTGTGAGCAAAGTAAATCTCTTGCTTGTGTGCTTGAGAAAATTATAATCTTGTGTGATTATAGTGAAAATCTCTTGTAAGTACAAGGAGACTGGATTACTGTCAAGTTGTGAGAGGAACCATGATAACTTTGTGTGTTATTTTTCTTTCATGCACTTTATATCCGCTGCATATCTCTAACTAAATTATATTCTACAACCTTGTGTTTAGAATCTGACTTAAGAGTTTCAAAAGGAAGAAAAAGCTAACACAATTCAACTCTCCTTCTTGTGTTTTTCTCACCGTCAAAGACTTACCAAGAAAATATATTTTCGAATGAGTGACAAGTGATTGATGAAAGAGCATAATAAGAATTCCATAAGTTGGTTTAATGAAAGAATTTCCAATGATGGCGGTGCACCCAAGACAATTAAATGGATGTCATACATGCCTAAATTTAATGTAGTATATTGGAGTGCATACAACATTAGTATGTTTTTCTATTATACAAAATCAAAAGATGATCATAGTACAATGCAAAATAGTGGAGTTATGGTTGAGGCTAAATCCATGCATTTCTCTAGTTTGAAAGATAAGAATCATATAATTGTATCTACAAAATACTTTGGGGTCATTGAGGATATTTGAGAGGTTCATTATGTTTTAATCAAAGTTCCTTTATTTAAATGCAAGTGAGTTACCAATAACCTTGGTGTACAGATTGATGACTTGGATTTACATGGGTTGACTTTGACAAGACAACTTCGAACCATTCATTATGACATCCCAAGCAAAACAAGAATTTTATGTCACTGATCCTTCTGACAAAATATGGTCAATTGTCCTCCGAGGAAAACACATTTCATATAGTGATGAAAATCAAGATTTAAATTTTGATATTAGTATGACTCCTTCGTACACATCACATGTGTCTACTTTATATGAATAAATTGATATAGATGATGTGCATGTTATTCGTTATGTTCATGAAGAAGGCATATGGAAAAATTAATAAATAAATATTTTTTATTGGTTATTCATAATTTATCATATGTTATAATTTTTAAATGTTATATACTAACAAGTATTATCATTTGAAATTATAGGTATTTAGAGACAAGACACCAAAAAATATCTTCGATCATGTTGTGGGTCTTATTTGAAGAATGTATTGCAAAATATTTTAGTATGTTTGCTTTCTTATTTAATGTAATGATGTATAAATTATATGTTGTTTTGATGTCATTTTGATTTTGATGCAATACACTTTTGTTTCTTAATAGTTGTTAATTTATTTTTTATTTATAAATGTATTGTGTTGATGTCTGTGGTCTATTTATGATTTACAAAAATATATGTCAAAAAATGATAATTATGTAAAATAAAAGAATTAATATATTTAAATAAAATATAATATTTTATCTAATAAAAAATAGCATTATTGAATATCGAACGAATGAGTTTTAAATTTTTCACAACCATTATTTATTTCAACTATGGTGAAACATAATTTGTTTTTAATTTATTATTACTACCAATGACCCTTGGTAGTAGTAATGAAACTCTCATGCTTTATCTAATGGTTGAAAATTGATAAAAATGATTTAAATAAAAAGATGTTGCTTTGAAAAATGAGAAAGAGATAGATGAATGATTAAGATTGAGACTAAATGAAAGCAGCTGAAAAACACTGCTGAGGATCCAAATCCATAAACCTTCAACCATAATTAAATTTATTCCCAACATTATACAATATATATTTGTATAGTAATAAACTACTCCTGATTATGAGGCTACAAATTATCCGTAGAGTTTACCATAGATAATAATTATTGGACAGCATTACTATCCAACATGGACTAAAATATCATTCCTATCCCAATTTTTTATCTGCAAAGCCCAAAATTAAGATAGCACTTAACAAAAAGTTGAACTTGTTTTGGCATTAAGTTTATAGTGCAAGTAATATAAGCTTGTATACTGCATACATTTATTTTCCACAATTTAACCAACATCATATATGATTTGATCCAATTGTAAAAAAATATATTTGTGCATGGTACAAATTTGATCTCACTTGTGCACCTTAAAAGTAACATGTTTTGGTATCCAAAAATGAAGTTAAATAAAATACAATACATGTACAGTGCAGAGGTGGGGACCCATCCACCGCCCATATACACGCAGTCTTAGATTGGATCCATTTTCTAAATCTAACCCTAACACTCTATAATTCCCTCTTTCTTTTCCTTTTCCTCATTCTTTCATACCAACTTCAATTTCATTTCACTGCACTCTCCACACAACTCTCTCTCTATGTGGAGGTAGATGCATAATCAACTCAACAAGATGAATCATACTCAAAGATAAATTCACAGGACAACACAACAATTCTTGTATTCTTTGTATATCTATTATTGCAAAGGAAAGTTTCATCATCATCATTGAAGAAAGAGTATTGCAAAGGAAAGTTTCATCATCATCATTGAAGAAAGAGTATTCATCTTTCATCATATATCAATTCATGGATCAAATATCATCACATGGACATTCACTTCCTCCACCTTTTCATACAGCGAGAGATCTTCATCTTCATCACCAGCATCAACAACAACAGCAGCAACAGCAGCAACACCATCAATTCCATGCTTTACAGCAACAACATACCACAGATCAAGATGAACAAAGCGGAAGTAGCAGCGGCGGAGGACTCAACCTCACAAACCGAGAAGAAAACAGCAAGTTCAACGCTGATTTTAACGCGAAATTAGATTCCGGAGGAGGTTCTGGAGGCGATAATGATTCAATGACAAGAAGACCAAGAGGAAGACCGGCCGGATCCAAAAACAAACCAAAACCACCAATCATCATCACACGTGACAGCGCAAACGCCTTGAAAACCCACGTGATGGAAGTTGCAGACGGCTGCGACGTCGTTGAAAGTGTCAACAACTTCGCGAGACGCCGTCAGAGAGGGGTTTGCATCATGAGCGGAACCGGAACAGTTACGAACGTGACACTAAGGCAACCGGCTTCACCTGGAGCTGTAGTAACTCTTCACGGACGGTTCGAGATTTTGTCGCTAGCTGGATCGTTTCTTCCGCCGCCGGCTCCGCCTGCCGCTTCTGGTTTGACTATATATTTAGCCGGCGGACAAGGACAGGTTGTTGGCGGAAGTGTTGTTGGTGCTTTGATTGCTTCTGGACCTGTTGTCATCATGTCTGCTTCTTTTAGTAACGCTGCTTACGAGAGACTTCCTTTGGATGAAGATGATGGTTCTTCTTTGCAACAACTCCAAGGTGGTGGTGGTGGTGGTTCTCCAAGTGGTGGTGGTGGCGGTGGTGTTCAACAGACACAACTTTTGGGAGATTCAACAGCTCCACTTTTTCAAGCTATGCCACAACCTCCAAATTCTAATCATAATCCTAATCTTCTCAATTCCGTTATGCCTTCTGATAATTTCTGGCCAACTGGTCGATCTCCGTATTGACGATACGATATTCCTGCAACACGGCGAATGAGGTTCATTTCTTCTAGTATTTGAATTTGCTTTCATTTCTTTAGATTTTGTGTGTCATTTTGAATATTATTAGGTTGTAGAAGGTGAGTTAATTTATGTTTGAATTTGAGACTGTAATTAAATTGATGCATCGTTATTATATTCTACCTTGCGTGAGTTTGTTTAATTTGATTCTGTATTCTGTGATGGAATCAATAAATGGTGCATTTAATTGCTTATTTAAGGTGAATAAAACAGTACAAGTTAGTATAAGTAGTACGAGGAATGAGCTCAAAGAAAAGACAATTGATCATGCATTTCATTCACATGGTGAAGTGATGTTTGAGAACTCACTTTTGCATGTTATTATTCGATGCATTTTTCTGAATTCAAGGTAAAGTTTTCTTCATTTTATTATTCAAGATACAAAGCTTGTTTCAAGAGAATGTGTATGATCTAGGTTATGCTTAGATTATTAAAATTTAAATATAAAGTGAAAATATGTATAAAAAAATTCAAAAGATGTTGTAATTGTCTTCTTTAAATAAAGTGAGGATCTAGTGTAAGATTTTCTTTGACAAAAGGATCTAATATATGATAATGAATGTTACTAGCATCATCTTCAAATGTAATTATAATAAAATCTCCAAGATGTTATAACAATAATTATTATTCATATCAAAATATATTTATTTATAGTAATAGGGAAGGTAAATTGTCTCTCTTCTTCAAGTATTGGAGAAGGTGGTTAAGAAAGACATACTCTTTACCATTTAAGCATAAGTATTGTTAGCATATTAAATAACTAAAATTTCAAATTTTTAATAAATTTAATTATTAGAAGTGTCTAAAAAATTTAAATTAAATTTTTAGATATGCATCTTAAAAGTATTAATAAATAAGAGTTGAGAATAAACCCTATAATAATATAAGAATTATAATTAAAAAAAATACGACTAACAAAAAATAAAAAGGCAAAAATAAATTCAACAACAACAAAACTACAGTTAAGGAGCAACCACCAAAACAAAGAATTCTAAAAAGAGCAAATATCTACCGAAGCATTGTAAACATCCGCCGCCGAAACACCACCTATTAAAAAAGTTAATTAGAACTTAGACCATTACGAGAATAGAGAAATATATATCCTCCAAAACACCACCTAGTAGGAAACTTAATTAGAACTTAGAGCAACTTTAATGCAGGGTTGTTAAATCAAAATTCTTTATAGTTTACGTTAGTAATAAGGAATTTGCATTATAGTAGTGCTGACATGGCATATGGGATGCTCTAAAATTAGTTTACGTGCTCTACACAAGCAACGTACTCTAACTCATCATTTAACAAAAATAATACATTTTTATTAATTATTTAAAATAAATAATAGATTTTTATTAATCATTTAATGCCATGTGGGGTCAAGTTTTGGTTTCTTATAGACAACCACCATTAAAGTAAAAACTACTCAAATCAACCATAAATTTTTTAAATCCTACAAATCACTTTGGACCCACAAAAAGTGTCTTAGTTTACCCATTTAGTTTACTCCCACTAAAGATGCTCTTAGACCATTAAGAGAATAGAGAAATTTATAGAAAAATCAAAATCACTGAACACGTGTGGAGTAGTCCAAACTCTTGATGCACTATCAATTTAGATAAAGAATAGGGTTATGAAGGCACTCAGAGAAAGAGTTAGAGTTCAATGTAGACTTGCTTATAAAACAATTTCAAGCCAAAAAAATAATTTTCTCTTCCATTTCTTTCACATTTGTTGACGAGAAAACAATTTATCATTATGCACCGACCAAATGGTCCACACCACGACATGTTAAATCATAGCAAAACATACCTTACTCTTAACTTTAGATCCTAAAGATATTAAAAACTCAAAAAGAATCCTAAGCTCCATGGGAAGCACCAACTGTAAATCCAACAACTTAAAGATTCTATACCACACAACGGAGACCGAACTACGTACATGTGACAAACAAATGAGAGGAAGACTTTTGACAGTCCCCACACAACACATAAGAAAGACCATCAAGGTCAACAATAAGCTTATGCTTGAATAGATTCTCTCTATCAGAAAACATATCCAGCAAAAGTTTCCAAGAGAAGATCACTACCTTAGAATGAGCTCAACTATCCTAAATACGAGGAAGAGAAGAGATATCCCTCACTAAGTTAGAATCATATACAGGACTGAGCTCTACTTGGACTGAGTAAGCATATGTCATTGAAAAAATATCTTCCCTATTATGCTTCCAAAACAACTTATCACAATCCTTACAAAATTGGAATTGACTGGGGACAGAAAAAACAAACTCAAAGATCAATGGTTATTCATGAACTAAGAATGATTTCTTTCGACTAAGATCTCAAATGATCCTCCCATTTTCCCACTTCCTTAACCACAACTACAAAATGTAGATTTCTTAATACACTTTCACTTCGACCATAGTGTCAATTATGGTAAAATTTATTAATTTAGGCGTTTTTTTTTTCATTTTCATTTTTAAGCCGCTTTTTACTACGGTCAAAGTTTTCAATCATGGTAAAAAGTGACGACCGATTATTATTTTGAATCCCAACACTAGCAGTTTTTGTTAGTTATTTATTTTTAAACCACTTTTTATCACAGATGAAATTTCAATTATGGTGAAAAATGGCGCTTGGTAATGGGTTCGAATCCCAGCATTAACAATTTTGTTTATTTATTTATTTTTAAGTCAATTTTTACCACAGTTGAAATTTCCAATCGTCAAGAAAAGTAACGTCTTTCTATTTTTTTTCTAAGATATATAACTCTTCATGTTCATTTTGTAGACGAACTTCATCTTCTACCTTAAAACTTCATCTTTCATTTATGAAGCTCTATTTATCCACTAAACCAAACTCAAAAACATCATTTCTTTCATTAACTTGTTTCAGAATTCCATTACCTCTTCTCCAACTTGAACGAGGAAAAGAAAACATGGATTCAAGTTAGCAATGTTAGTTGTTATTTTTGTGTCATGCATGTAAAATGTTTAATACTGTCGTTGTTGTTAAAATTTAACTTTTTATAATTTTTTTTGTTGATTTTTTTTCTTGTTTTTGTTTTTGTTGATTTTTTTCTTGTTTTTGTTTTTGTTGATTTTTTTCTTGTTTTTGCTTTTGTTGATTTTTTTCTTGTTTTTGTTTTTGAGATTTAATGTTTAACGGTTATATTGATTTAGTTTTTTTAGTTGTTATTGTCGAGATTTAATGTTTAATGATTATATTAACTTTATTTTTTGTTGATATTGTTGTTGTTATTGTTGTTATTGTTATTGTTTTGGATGTTGTTGTTATTGTTGTTGTGTTAGAAATATTTTATATTCTATATTGTGATGGAAATTCTCAATGTAGTTAGCCAAAGCATGTAGCAAATATGAAAAATTTGGCTGACTGACTTTTCACCACGGTTTGAACTTTCAACCTTGGTGAAAAATGGATCGACTGACATTTCACCATTTTTAAAAGTTTCAACCATGGTGAAAAGTGGGTTGACTACATTTTACCACGATTGGAGTTTCCTTCTATGGTGAAATGTAGTCTGTTATCTAGTTTTTCACCACTTAACTTAATTCGTGGTGGAAAGTAGTGCACTTACTATCACACCCTTCGTTATTACGAATCGTCATCAGTGGTGGAATCTTTCTTCCAACTGTTATGATAGATACTTTTGTAGTAGTGAAGTCATTCACTTTACCATCTTGATCTTCAAAGATAGTAAAGAGTCTAGGAAATATAACCTTTAGAAATATATTTCCAATCCAAGGATCCTTCCAAAAAAAAATATGTGGAAACCAGACCCAACTCTTTTAACCAACTCACTCTCAAACAAATTATGAGGATCGTCTTTTTTTGGAACCAATGAGAAAAATTCTTCTCCGCCACGAGGAAACTAAGAGAAGACCCGAAGCCCTACCCCACCTAAGGATAACTCAAAAATTGAATTGGAAATTTTAGAAAATTTAGATACAATCCATAAATCCAATATATATAATTATAATATTTGCAAGATAATTTATTCACTTAGTTTGTGTGTTAGGGTGTGCGTATTTGTGGGTTTTTGGTGGAGTTGGTTTGTGTAGGAGGAGTGATTTCTATTCTTTTGTCTTGAGGATTGTAATATATTTGGTTTGTTTGATTTGTTTTTTATTTGTCTAGATTTCAAGTATAGGATCGTAAGAGTCCCTTACGACCCTTTGTAGAAAGAGGATACAGGTCCCTCTCTTTGATGTTGGACTCAAACTTTTATTTTGTTGTAATAGATTAGATTACCTCTTATTCCTAACACGTCCGTAAATACAAACTGGATCCACGTTCCTAAGACGCATGAGTTGATAATTATGATAGCTACCGTTGAATCCACGTTCAACACCACTATTGAAAAACCTAGATCCTCAGTAATCGAAAGTCCTTCATAGATTCCCTAAAGTTTAGCTTTAATAGCACTACAATTCTCTTTGTATTTGTAAAACCCACCTTTGCACTCTCCACCCATGCCTCTTATTATACCATTGCTACCAGTTCAACTTCTTTTGAAACAAGCTCCATTTGTATTCAATTTCACCCAATTGTTCTCGGGTGGCTTCCAACCGACCATGATGACTATTTTCTTGATACTATTGATTAATACTTTGTTTTCCATTGCATCTTCATAATCCTCCTTCCTACGTTGAACTTGCATGCAAGGGTAATTCGTCCAGTTATAGTTTCCATCGTGTATCTCTTTGTTTCAATAAATCCAAAGACTGTGACAACCGACCGCCCAATAGATAGCCCAACTACTGCTATCGTTTATGTTTAAATATATCCAAGCAGCCAGTTCTATAAAGGAGAATTTCATATTTATTTTATCAGGAACCCTATGTTCCCAAAGCTATATGGCTCTTGGACAGTTCCTAAGAGCATGCATGGTTGTTTCTTTAACTCCACTACACAACTTGCAATCTACTCCAC